GTTGTTTAAGTGTTCCCTTTATTTTTTTGAGCAGTGTACTTTTTCCATTAGTTACAGTGAACAACAGAAGTGTGTCTTCTGCTCTCATCAGTAAGGGAGTGTTTTGAGGATGTGAACCCAGCAGCCCTCCAGTTGTCAGATCAATTCCACACGTTTTTTTTCCAGCGCCCGGCCCGGGATTTGAACTTGCCACCTTTGACCACAGGTCCAACTCCTGCAACAACTCCTAAGCTGTTGGACTACCTGCTTGACTGGTTCCAGATAATAAGAAAAAAGGAGCGATAGCATGAGTTAATCTGCCAAAATGAAGACAAAATGCTATTGTGTTAAAAGTAATGTGATGATTAACTAGGTTATTGAATCACCAAGACTTATTAAACATCATTTATTATGTAATTTATACAAACCTCTCAGTCAGAAACAGTCTCCGAATTCATGAAACATAGGCTAGTCCCCTCACCTGACTCCACACTGGAATAAAATTAACAGTTAGCTAATTGCCAATGTCAGGCTGGGTCTGTAGCTCTATTTGGCATATCACATAATAAAAAATAATGTTTATTTGAAAGAGTTAGTTGGCTAGCTTTGAAAGTGGCAAATTAAAGTAGCCTTTTCTGTTTAGCTAGCGAAGTTATTCTAATAACGTTTCAACTTTATTTATCTAGCCTATAGTTTATCATATGACTTTGGCTTTGTATATTTGAATTAAGTAAAGTGGAACTGACAGCGTTTAAGCAACATGAAATCTTATTAAAATCTGTTCATATACACCCTCAGGAAGAATATGACATTTATTTTTAATATTTTATTTTTTAAATTCTGACAAGTGAGCACTTAGATATGGTCATTTTCACATTTAATAAATTCATAGAATGTTTGGGAATGACATAGTAAGGCATTTGTGAAAATTCTATAGCAATATAGAGTGGGAAAGTGGCTGTTAGTTTGGACTATAATAGACACTGCAGTAAATAAAACCTAATAAAAACATCTGTCTTGTCCAGGACACAGACCAGTGTGCCATAGCCAATCAGAGCTACAGTAGGCCTATATGCATACATGGGCCACACGGGCCTGCCATCATTCTCTTTGAACTGGTCAGTGTGTTTACAGGCAGTAGCAACAGTGCCACTTTAGATCATTAGAACGCAATCACCAAAAGCCACAAAATACACCTGAACGGATTTCTGTAAATATGTATATACCACGGGAGTCCTCTTACATTTGGGAACGTCACAGTCCTATTGATCAAACCACCATAAAAATGTAGGCTATCTCTCCCTCAGTTGCCTATGCACATCAACAACAACACGATCAACAACTAATACTAGCCAGAGGGAGATGAGCTAAAATCTAACAAGGGAACATTAGATAAACCCTCTCAAACTTTTTAAGCTAGATGGCCGTCAAAATTGCACTGAAACAAAGGGGAATAGTAGCCTGCTCGTCCTTCTGCAGCTTGCCTGCCAATGGATGCTTGTCCCAACCCACGTTTTGAAAACTGAATGGGAACTGCCCACCCATGCCAAATACGCAAGCCAAGGGGTGTCAAACTCAATCATAGCCAAATTGTTTGTACAAATAAAAGTGCAACTGCGACCAACACTGGCAATTGTTTTTATTAGAAAAAATATGGACCTTTATAATGTCCACTATGTGCATAGGATGCTGTGTATAGCATTTTAACATATTAAAACAAAAGAAGAGATACATAATATTTGTCCAGCCTTTGCTGCTATACTTGCAGATGTGCATAATATGCTGTGACCCTAATCAAAAAGTATTTAATAACTCCAAATAACAGAAACGTAGCTATAGGTTTGTTGTAACATTTAAACGTAAAACATGTTTTAAATTTTTTTGCACCGCATGGATCACCGGTGCCTTTGAATGCAGCATTGCTGTATGGTGCACTCAAAATGTATTGTAGTTGAGTAGCCAGCCTAGTCTACTGCTCAAATGTTGCTGTAAATGGCCTACGTTTCTCCTTTGCCGATTTAATTATTTGGTTATTACATTTTAGTCATTTAGCAGACGCTCTTATCCAGAGCGACTTACAGTTAATGCATTTTTTATTTTATTTTTTCATACCCCCTGTGGGAATCAAACCCACAACCCTGGCGTTGCAAACGCCATGCTCTGTCAACTGAGCTACATCCCTACCCGCCATTCCCTCCCCTACCCTGGACGACGCTGGGCCAATTGCGTGCCGCCCCATTGTCAAGCTTTAAAAACTGAAGCCAGACTGCAACATTATAGTAGCCTTTCCCTCCGCTGCGCGCTGTAAACGGAACACACGAAAGCAACGCAATTGAAGTTGAATTCGGCGCATCAGGCTATAATTTAATAAATAAGATGACTCAACTGTTGACTCATTTATTCTTGTGTGTCCTATTCGGCCCGCGGGCCTTCTGTTTGACATGTGCGCTAGCCTATTAGCCACGTTATGAAGAATATGCAAAAATAGAGAAAATCAGAAAGGGGGCAAATACTTTTTAATGGCCCCCTCTACTCCACATCACACCGCTCCATAGTACTCATTTTCCCTGGAAAACTGACTTTTTCGTCCTCATGCTAGCTAGCAGTAGCCACAGCAGGGTCGGTATCTTCTGGCAAATTACACCTACCTATACTTTTATTGTGGATACAGTATAGTATGTGCAGAATGATTTCCATTCATTTCTCTAAGAACAATATCTACATTTAACTCCATGTCATCGAGCGGATGCTTTCCCTCTTCCTCGACGTTCTCCTACTCTTCCTCACTTCTTCCTCTGCTCTTGCTCTCTGTGTTTTCTCTCCAATAATAATACTACTCTGTGGATCCCCGTGTGGCTCAGTTGGTAGAGCATGGCACCTGCAACGCCAGGGTTGTGGGTTCGATTCCCACGGGGGGCCAGTATGAAAATGTATGCACTCACTAACTGTAAGTCGCTCTGGATAAGAGCGTCTGCTAAATGACTAAAATGTAAATGTAAATGACTGGCTTGTGATCAATGCCCTTGCTAGTTTGATTGTATTGACATTACCAGCCTTAGTTACAGTCATCCATTTTTATTCAAAATATTGAGTCATTGAATCTGAAACCGTGTATCCCAAATAGGTGGAGGCAGCAAACAATGTACCAGGCCAGCTGTGATTTACAACCTGATAGCAATATTTTTGGACTACCAAGAAATGTATTTGTGAATAATATTAATCATGCATTGAACTGCATCCATCTATTCTGCCAACAATGCCTTACTGTACGTCATGGAATGTTTTGTAAAATATAACATATATTTTAAACCTCTTATAAAGTTGGTTTTGAAGCTTAAACTGGGAATTTGATATGTTTTGCTGATATTATGATTGTCTGTTTGTTTCATATCTGCAAAGTAGTTAAAACGCTGTCAGTTCCACTTTAATACATTGAAAAATAATGTGCTTATTGGTAGGCTACTTGCAAGGCCTCCTGTAGCTCAGTTGGTAGAGCATGGCGCTTGCAACGCCAGGTTTGTGGGTTCGATTCCCATGGGGGACCAGTATGAAAAATGTGTGCATTCACTAACTGTAAGTCGCTCTGAATAAGAGCGTCTGCTAAATGACTAAAATGTAAGTTGCTGAAATGGATTGGCAGTTGTTTTTTTTATCAGAGTGGCAGTTAAATTTTGAACTGGCCAAAAGGTTCTATATGGAACCACTTTTTTTTTTTTTATCTAAGAGTGTATGCTTTTAATTGAACACATTATTTCCTCTTGCTTCTAGCTAGCATTTAATTTGCAACAGCACAGGTTTGTATGAACCTTGCTGTTTGCCACTCAGACCTTGGCAACAATGTTGCTAAATATGAATTCGATCTTCCCCCTGCCATAGCCAGCTAACGGTGTCGGACGTCAGCTATCTATTTTTCTGAACAGGCGAAATCATGCAGCAGCATCATTAATATGGATATAAATATCAATGGAAAACGGAGCAAACTAATTAAAAGGGAATGTTAGCTGTCATTTCAGAGTTTGATGTGACTGGGTTAGCTTTTGTTAGCTGTTGATTTCTAAAATCCCCATTACACTCTGGGGTACACTCTTAGAAAAAAGGGTTCCAAAGGGTTCTTTGGCTGTCCCCATAGGATAACCCTTTTTGGTTCCAGGTAGAACCCTTTTTGGTTCCATGTGTAACCCTCTGTAAAAAAGGATTCTACATGGAACCCAAAAGGGTTCTACCTGCAACCAAAAAGGGTTCTTCAAAGGGTTCTCCTATGGGGACAGCCGAAGTACCCTTTAACGTTCTAGATATAAACTTTTTTTTCCTAGGAGTATAGGGATAGAACCCTCAAGGTTCTTCACCTTAACTGGGTATATATACAGTATATACTGTATACAACCTGTTTTAGTAAAGGGCTCTTTAATCTTGTCCAAAGAACCAAAAGGTTCTATATAGAACCCCAAATAATATTTTTTTCTAGGAGTGTATGGTGTTGCTTTTTCATTTCCTCTTAAAGTGAAGAGGTTGGATCGGAGTCACAATTAAAGCTGAACGTGTTTCCTGTGGTTATTATGCTGTCCGACTAGCTTTAAATGTTGGAGCATCGGAACATTTGTTGTACTTTAGAGCTGTTGTCCAGAATACTATTCTTTAGGGTTAGACTTGACCATAGAGTAATATCCCACTGGGCACAGACTTCAATTTAATTCATTATTGTTATTTTATTGTGTTTTTGTATTTATTAATTTTTTTACTTTAGTTTATTTAGTAAATGTTTTCTTAACTCTATTTTCTTAAAACTGCATTGTTAGGTAAGGGCTTGTAAGTAAGCATTTCACGGGAAGGTCTACACCTGTTGTCTTCGGCGCATGTGACATAAAATTTGATTTGATTTGATATTCCATGTTGGTTCAATGTAATTTCATTGAAATTATGTGGAAACAACATTTATTCAACAAGTGTGTGGCCAGTGGAATGTTGATGGTGTGCTACAGTGAGATGCTATGCAAAGGTTATCTGTTGATGTTCTTCTCCAGGACATTGCTACCATGCAGCTGTGTGCCAACAAGCTGGACAAGAAGGACTTCTTTGGGAAGTCTGACCCCTTCCTGGTCTTTTACAGAAGTAACGAGGATGGAACGTGAGAGTAGCTTCTGAGGAAATGTCCTAGTTTCCTAGCATACATGTTTTCCTATGCTTTACAACAGTATGCAACGTATGTCTGTGTGTTCGGTTCTAGCTCTGAGGATCATATGTCCTCATCTTGGGATTGTTTCTAGTGATTGCTAGTGATATCACCTAAGTACATTGTGAGTTCCTCTCTGTAACTTTCTCTACTACTCTGTTCCAGGTTCACTATCTGTCATAAGACGGAGGTGGTTAAGAACACACTGAACCCTGTGTGGCAGCCCTTCACCATCCCAGTGAGGGCCCTTTGTAACGGCGACTATGACAGGTTAGAGTGGAGAGGACAGAGGGACAGTATGCTTTAGGTTGCATGACCAATGATTGTCCTTCAGGCTGGGGATGTGACTGTCTATGACTGTGTTGTATGATAGGATTGTGGTCATACGCACATCCTTAAAAAAAACATAGGTGCTGAGCTAATGAAGTAAACTAGAACAGACAGACAGGCCCGCACACTGAATATGCTCCCAGTTACCTTTATTGACAGCGTTTCGATCCACAAGGATCTTCGCCAGGTCAGGTATGTTGTATGATATCAATAGGATTGAAACATTGGGACACTGTCTGGGGGAACCAATGGGGAACCTCTACAGTACTGAGCAGCAGGATGATGATTTCAACTGTCAGTCACTGGGGCGATCAGAATAATGCCAGCAGTCGGCCTTGGTTTCCCAGGGGCCAGCACTGGTGTTATTGGGATTGACTCGGAGTTACCACACCACGTTACCACACCACGTTACCACACCATTCACTGTCAACGATGCTGATGGAGTCTCTGTGAGTCAATGTTGTGTTGACAGGACATCAGCCTACCTCTCATGGACATGTATCAGCGTGACACCTTTTCTTTAGAAGGAATAGGTCTATGGTGGTTGTGTCAAAGGTCATGTTGTCTAATGAAATACAGTGAGCTCTGAAAGTATTGGAACAGTGACACATTTTTTGTTTTTTTTGGCTCTGTACTCCAGCACTTTGGATTTGACATTATACAATGACTATGAGGTTAAAGTGCAGACTGTCAGCTTTAATTTGAGGGTGTTTTCATCCATATCGGGTCCATATCATCCATATTTGGTCCCCTAAAATAGGGGGGACTATGTACAGAAAGTGCGGTAATTTCTTAACGGTTCACCTGATATGGATGGAAATACCCTCAAATTAAAGCTGACAGTCTGCATTTTAACCTCATAGTCATTGTATCATTTCAAATCCAAAGTGCTGGAGTACAGAGCCAAAACAACAACACATGTGTCACTGTCCCAATACCTTTGGAGCTCTCTGTACATTTTTTGAAATGTTTTTTTTCTGTTTCCCTCCTAGAACAGTGAAGGTGGATGTGTATGACTGGGACAGAGATGGAAGGTAATTTTAGTGCACTTTTTGATTTACACATGAATGTCTAATGCTTTGTAAATGTGTCTCATGCTGTCAGTTATTCTTCCCTGTAGCCACGATTTCATTGGTGAGTTCACCACAAGTTACAGAGATTTCTCGCGTGGACAAAACCAGTTTAATGTCTATGAGGTGAGCCACAAATGTTTGTTCATTTTCAGTAACATACAGTGCATTTGGAAAGTATTCAGACCCCTAAGACTTTTCCCACATTTTGTTACGTTACAGCCTTCTTCTAAAATGGATTAAATAAAACAATGTCCTCATAAATCGACACACAATACCCCATAATGACAAAGCGAAAACAGGTTTTTAGACATTTTTGCAAATGTATTAAAACTTTAAAACAGAAATACTTTATTTACATAAGTATTCAGACCCTTTGCTATGAGACTCGAAATTGAGCTCAGGTGCAACATGTTTCCATTGATCATCCTTCAGATGTTTCTACAACTTGATTGGACATGATTTGTAAAGACACACACCTGTCTATATAAGGTCACACAGTTGACAGTGCATGTCAGAGCATTAACCAAGCCATGAGGTCGAAGTAATTGTCCGTAGAGCTCCGAGACAGGATTGTGTCGAGGCACAGATCCGGGGAAGGGTACCAAAAAATTTCTGCAGCATTGAAGGTCCCCAAGAACACCATGGCCTCCATCATTCTTAAATGGAAGAAGTTTGGAACCACCAAGACTCTTCCTAGAGCTTGCCGCCCGGCCAAACTGAGCAATTGGGGGAGAATGGTCTTGGTCAGGGAGGTGACTAAGAACCCGATGGTCGCTTTAACAGAGCTCCAGAGTTCCTCTGTGGAGATGGGAGAACCTTCCAGAAGGACAACCATCTCTGCAGCACTCCACCAATCAGGCCTTTATGGTAGAGTGGCCAGATGGAAGCCACTCCTCAGTAAAAGCCACATGACAGCCCGCATGGAGTTTGCCAAAAGGCACCTAAAGGTCTCTCAGACCATGAGAAACAAGATTATCTGGTCTGATGAAACCAAGATTAAACTCTTTGGCCTGAATGCCAAGTGCCACATCTGGAGGAAACCTGGCACCATCCCTACTGTGAAGCATGGTGGTGGCAGGATCATGCTGTGGGGATGTTTTTCAACGGCAGGGACAGGGAGACTTGTCAGGATCGAGGGAAAGATAAACTGAGCAAAATACAGAGAGATCCTTGATGAAAACCTGCTCCAGAGCACTCAGGACCTCAGACTGGGGCGAAGGTTCACCTTCCAACAGGACAACGACCCTAAGCACACAGCCAAGACAACGCAGGAGTGGCTTCGGGCCAGAGGCCAGACTTGAACCCGATCGAACATCTCTGAAGAGACCTGAAAATAGCTGTGCAGCGATGCTCCCCATCCAACCTGACAGAGCTTGAGAGGATCTGCAGAGAAGAATGAGAGAAACTCCTCAAATACTTGTAACGTCATATCGAAGAAGACTCGAGGCTGTAATTGCTGCCAAAGGTGCTTCAATAAAGTACTGAGTAAAGGGTCTGAATACATATGTAAATGTGATATTTTATACTAATTTTCTTTATACATTTGCACAAATTTCTAAAAACCTGTTTTTGCTTTGTCATTATGGAGTATTGTGTGTAGATTGATGAGGGGGGAAAAACGATTTAATCAATTTTAGAATAAGGCTGTAACGTAACAAAATGTGGAAAAAGTCAAGGGGTCTGAACACTTTCCGAATGAACTGTACACCAGTATATGCATATGTGATTACTATTGTCATGAACATCCTTTCAGTTTTGTTGATGTTATGTTGTACCTTGACTAGATGTGTACATCCACATTATATAAATATCTACCGCAAGCATCTTCCGTTCATAATGCTTTTTTTTATCCATTATTTTATTTTCCATAAACCAGGTTCTAAATCCCAAGAAGAAGGGCAAGAAAAAGAAATACATTAACTCCGGCACGGTAAGTACCTCCCTCCTATCTGCCTGTCAGCTTCACCATTGTAATGATTTATATGAGTCACTATTGTCATCCTACTATCCTTCTCCCCACCCCCACACCATCACCACTATCATCAGGTAACACTGCTGTCCTTCAAAGTGGAGTCAGAATATACGTTTGTGGATTTCATCCGAGGCGGGTGAGTGGAATGTTAATTAGCCCAGTGTTCATTAAGCCTATGCCTGTGTGGATAAACAGGAAACCCTCCTGACTCCAGGCCTTGGACATGGAGCTATTACTTCACACTGCTACATTCAACCAGTTAGTCAATTAGGGCCATGGCCATAGTAATATAACAACTACTCAATAAACTATTGATCAACGTCCTGGTTGAAGAGGTTTGGTCCTTGGATGGCAGTATTCTAATTTGGATCAAGTTGATCTTTTTAATGTTTTTCAACCCCTTCTTTCCCAACAGGACACAACTCAACTTCACAGTAGCCATCGATTTCACTGCTTCTAATGGTAAGTGGAGCTCAGGGCGGTCATTGGCCATATAAAAACATTTACACATACAGTAGATTAATTTCAAATGCAAATGTATCCTAATTACACAACATGACCAAAAGTATGTGGACACCTACCGTCGAACATCTCATTCCAAAATTATGGGCATTTTATGCTGTAGCGTTAAGATTTATCTTCACTGTAACTAAGGGGGCTAGCCCGAACCATGAAAAACAGCTCCAGCCAACAAACTTAACAGTTGGCATTATGCATTGGGGCAGTTAACGTTCTCCTGGCATCTGCCAAACCCAGATTGGTCTGTCAGACTGCCAGATGGTAAAGAGTGATTAATCACTCCAGAGAATGTGTTTCCACTGCTACTGAGTCCAATGGCGGCGAGCTTTACACCACTCCAGCCGACACTTGGCATTGCACATGGTGATCTTAGGCTCGCGTACTGCTTCTCGGCCATGGAAACCCATTTCATGAAGCTCCAGACGAACAGTTCTTGTGCTGAAGTTGCTTCCAGAGGCAGTTTGGAACTCGGTAGTGAGTGTTGCAACCGAGGACAGACGATTTTTACACACTACGCGCTTCAGCACTCTGCGGTCCCGTTCTGTGAGCTTGTGTGGCCTACCACTTCGCGGCTGAGCCGTTGTTGCTCCTAGACGTTTCCACTTCACAATAACAGCACTTACAGTTGACCGGGGCAGCTCTAGCAGGGCAGAAATTTGACAAACTGACTTGTTGGAAAGGTGGCATCGTTTGACGGTGCCACGTTGAAAGTCACTGAGCTCTTCAGTAAGGCCATTCTACTGCCAATGTTTTTCTATGGAGATTTCATGGCTGTGTGCTCGATTTTATACACCTGTCAGCAACTGTTGTGGCTGAAATAGCGGAATCACTCATTTGAAGGGGTGTCCGCATACTTTTCTATATATATATATATATATATACACAGTTGAAGTCGGAAGTTTACATACACCTTAGCCAAATATATTTAAATCCAGTTTTTCACAATTCCTGACATTTCATCCTAGTAAAGATTCCCTGTCTTAGGTCAGTTAGGATCACCACTTTATTTTAAGAATGTGAAATGTCAGAATAATAGTAGAGAGAATTATTTATTTCAGCTTTTATTTCTTTCATCACATTCCAGAAGTTTACATACACTCAATTAGTATTTGGTAGCATTGCCTTTAAATTGTTTAACTTGGGTCAAACGTTTCAGGTAGCCTTCCACAAGCTTCCCACAATAAGTTTGGTGAATTTTGGCCCATTCCTCCTGACAGAGCTGGTGTAACAGGTTTGTAGGCCTCCTTGCTCGCACACTCTTTCAGTTCTGCCCACAAATTTTCTATAGGATTGAGGTCAGGGCTTTGTGATGGCCACTCCAATACCTTGACTTTGTTGTCCTTAAGCCATTTTGCCACAACTTTGGAAGTATGCTTGGGGTCATTGTCCATTTGGAAGACCTATTTGCGACCAAGCTTTATCTTCCTGACTGATGTCTTGAGATGTTGCTTCAATATATCCACATAATTTTCCTTCCTCCTGATGCCATCTATTTTGTGAATTGCACCAGTCCCTCCTGCAGCAAAGCACCCCCACAGCATGATGCTGCCACCCCTGTGCTTCACGGTTGGGATGGTGTTCTTCGGCTTGCAAGCAACCCCCTTTTTCCTCCAAACATAACGATGGTCATTATGGCCAAACAGTTCTATTTTTGTTTCATCAGACGAGAGGACATTTCTCCAAAAAGTACAATCTTTGTCCCCATGTGTGTTGCAAACCGTAGTCTGGCTTTTTTATGGCAGTTTTGGAGCAGTGGCTTCTTCTTTGCTGAGCGGCCTTTCAGGTTATGTCGATATAGGACTTGTTTTACTGTGGATATAGATACTTTTGTACCTGTTTCCTCCAGCATCTTCACAAGGTCCTTTGCTGTTGTTCTTGGATTGTTTTGCCCTTTTCACACCAAAGTACGTTCATCTCTAGGAGACAGAACGCGTCTCCTTCCTGAGCGGTATGACGGCTGCGTGGTCCCATGGTGTTTATACTTGTGTATTATTGTTTGTACAGATGAACATGGTACCTTCAGGCGTTTGGAAATTGCTCCCAAGGATGAACCAGACTTGTGGAGGTCTACAAATGTTTTTTCTGAGGACTTGGCTGATTTCTTTTTATTTTCCCATGATGTCAATGAAAGAGGCACTGAGTTTGAAGGTAAGCCTTGAAATACATCCACAGGTACACCTCCAATTGACTCAAATGATGTCAATTAGCCTATCAGAAGGTTCTAAAGCCATGACATCATTTTCTGGAATATTCCAAGCTGTTTAAAGGTACAGTCAACTTAGTGTATGTAAACTTCTGACCCACTGGAATTGTTATACAGTGAATTATAAGTGAAATAATCTGTCTGTAAACAGTTGTTGGAAAAATTACTTGTCATGCACAAAGTAGATGTCCTAACCGACTTGCCAAAACTATAGTTTGTTAACAAGAAATTTGTGGAGTTGTTGAGAAACAAGTTTTAATGACTCCAACCTAAGTGTATGTAACTTCGACTTCAACTGTATATATATATATATATATATATATATATATATATATGAAATTAATTTCATTTGTTGTTTGTATTGTTGACAAAGGGAATAGGTTGCTCGTCCAAGCTTCTCCTAAAGTAAATTGAATTGAACTTGCCAAAATTATATGATTACTACTGTCTATACAAAAATAAATAAAATCCTTAAAAACGCTGCACTAGAGACCATGATTTAGCCATAGAGGATCATTAGCTTCTTTTTAAAAAATTGCTGTGGATTGTTTTGAAATCACAAGGCAAGGGCATAACCTACAGTCGGGAAGCTTGCAATTTGGGCCGCGTGCGCAGCATTTCAAATACTGATTGTTTATTTGCGGCTGTCTGTAAGGCCATTCTACTGCCAATGTTTTTTGCTATGGAGATTGCATGGCTGTGTGCTCGATTTTATACACCTGTCAGCAACGGGTGTGGCTGAAATAACAGAATCCACAAATTTTAAGGGGTGTCCACATAATTTTGCATCTACCGTGTATTTAGGTCATTTATGCACATATTACGTAACTGTAGGTCACTACATGGATCTGGCGTCATTTCAGTTGTCGCTATATGTGTGTCTGTGTTTTACCACTGTGCCTCTGTGCTGCTTGCCCTTAGGGGTTTCAGGCTGGGTATCTGTAAAAGCACATTATGAAAATTGCTGGTGGTAAAACAGGCTTTATAAAATACATTTGATTAATTTAATTTGTGCTGTGTGACAGGTGACCCGTCTCAGCCCTCCTCCCTCCACTACATGAACCCGTACCAGATGAATGCGTACGCCATGGCTCTGAAGGCTGTAGGGGAGATCATCCAGGACTACGACAGTGACAAGCTCTTTCCAGCCTACGGCTTCGGAGCCAAGCTACCCCCCGATGGAAAGATCTCCCACGCCTTCCCTCTGGTTAGACACACACACACACACACACACACACACACACAATGCTATGATTAGACACACAACCAGAAGGGCATACACATCATGTATCCGATTAGAGTAAAACACCTCTAGTATCAGATAAATAAAAAACAAACAGCAGAGGTGTTTTACTCTTATCTATTTACACCTTCAATACACCTGTCTGTAGGTGTGTGTTAGTGTATGTGGGTGTGTGTTAGTGTCTGTAGGTGTGTGTTAGTGTCTGTAGGTGTGTGTTAGTGTCTAGGTGTGTGTTAGTGTCTAGGTGTGTGTTAGTGTCTGTAGGTGTGTGTTAGTGTCTGTAGGTGTGTGTTAGTGTCTGTAGGTGTGTGTTAGTGTCTAGGTGTGTGTTAGTGTCTGTAGGTGTGTGTTAGTGTCTGTAGGTGTGTTTTAGTGTCTAGGTGTGTGTTAGTGTCTGTAGGTGTGTGTTAGTGTCTAGGTGTGTGTTAGTGTCTAGGTGTGTGTTAGTGTCTAGGTGTGTGTTAGAGTCTAGGTGTGTGTTAGTGTCTAGGTGTGTTAGTGTCTAGGTGTGTGTTAGTGTCTAGGTGTGTGTTAGTGTCTAGGTGTGTGTGTTAGTGTCTAGGTGTGTGTTAGTGTCTAGGTGTGTGTTAGTGTCTGTAGGTGTGTGTTAGTGTCTGTAGGTGTGTGTTAGTGTCTAGGTGTGTGTTAGTGTCTGTAGGTGTGTGTTAGTGTCTGTAGGTGTGTGTTAGTGTCTAGGTGTGTGTTAGTGTCTAGGTGTGTGTTAGTGTCTAGGTGTGTTAGTGTCTAGGTGTGTGTTAGTGTCTAGGTGTGTGTTAGTGTCTAGGTGTGTGTGTTAGTGTCTAGGTGTGTGTTAGTGTCTGTAGGTGTGTGTTAGTGTCTGTAGGTGTGTGTTAGTGTCTGTAGGTGTGTGTTAGTGTCTAGGTGTGAGTTAGTGTCTGTAGGTGTGTGTTAGTGTCTGTAGGTGTGTGTTAGTGTCTAGGTGTGTGTTAGTGTCTGTAGGTGTGTGTTAGTGTCTAGGTGTGTGTTAGTGTCTGTAGGTGTGTGTTAGTGTCTAGGTGTGTGTTAGTGTCTGTAGGTGTGTGTTAGTGTCTGTAGGTATGTGTTAGTATCTAGGTGTGTGTTAGTGTCTGTAGGTGTGTGTTAGTGTCTAGGTGTGTGTTAGTGTCTGTAGGTGTGTGTTAGTGTCTAGGTGTGTGTTAGTGTCTGTAGGTGTGTGTTAGTGTCTGTAGGTGTGTGTTAGTGTCTGTAGGTGTGTGTTAGCGTCTGTAGGTGTGTGTTAGTGTCTAGGTGTGTGTTAGTGTCTGTAGGTGTGTGTTAGTGTGTAGGTGTGTGTTAGTGTGTAGGTGCTAATCTACGTTTCATGTGTGGGAGAGGCAGGAAAAGGAGGCAGAGAAGGAGAGTGGGAGGAAATGTGAGAGAGAACACAGTCTCAGGGCCCTATTCAATCAAAATTGGCTACTGGGTTTCAGGATAGGAGTGGCGTTTTAAAGGGATGGGGCTGATTGTGATGCCAATCATGCCCTTGTTTGGCCTAAGAGCCTCAGCTGGGTTCAATCACGGGCTGGGAAGGTGCTGGAATGTGTCTGGCAGGGAGCAGAGAGGTTTTTGGCCACTGCAGCACACAGTGAAGTATATGGGCAAGTTGGAGATATGGAGAGAGAAGGTAAAGGTATCTGTGGCGTTTGTGACACATGTGGCATTTATATTTTTGTTCAGTGTACATTGTCACAATGTATTTTTCTTCTGAATTTGAATTATCTGAGAAATCGTTTATTTTAGGTAAACGTTTAAGATTAGGGCCTAATGAATTCATTTTAATTGACTGATTTTCGTCATATGAACATTAACCCAGTAAAATCTTTGAAGTTGTTGCATGTTGTGTTTATATTTTTGTTCAGTATATACTGTAAGTGAACGTCTCAAGGTCACCACTGAGGGTGTCTGTCTCTTCCACCACCAGCAGTAAGTAGTAAGTAACTAGCCGGTGCCCCCGCACATTGACTCTGCACCGGTACCCCCCCTGTATATATAGCCTCCCTACTGTTATTTTATTTTACTTCTGCTCTTTTTTTCTCAACACTTTTTTGTTGTTTTATTCTACTTTTTTATAAAAAATAAATGCACTGTTGGTTAAGGGCTGTAAGTAAGCATTTCACTGTAATGTCTGCACCTGTTGTATTCGGCGCATGTGGCCAATAAAATTTGATTTGAAGCGTGCCCCGACATTGTCTCAATGCAGCTGTGAGAGCGCTCAGCTCACTGAGAGAGGACCTGAGTGAGGACAGGGTGTGGCCCAGGGGCCGAGCCTCATCGCCTCGGTGACAGCTGGCCGCACGCGCTCAGCAGCCGGCTCATCTCCCAGCCCTGCGGGGGACTCCCAGCATCCTCTCACTTCCTCCTGAGGAGCCTCCCCAATCACAGGCTCCGCTCCACTGGCTGCTGTTGTCAAGCCAACAGCTTTCTGTCTCTCTCTGACCTGCAGCATTACTTCCCAAAAAACAACAAGAAATGCAGGAACTCTGTGAACTGGGCTGGTCGGCTCTCCAGTGGCTAGTGGAATATTGAAGTCCCATATTAATTATAAATAGAACGTGATTTATTATTTACACTTTTTTTGTGGCAGGCACTTGACTTTTATTGTTATTACCACAATGCACATTTAGAGCTTACTTTTCCTAGGCATTGTCCTTGAAAGGAGTGGATGTGTAAAAAGTGGGTTGGTGGTTGAGGTTTGGATCACCAGTGAAACAATTTACCATAGCATTATTGATAACGGAATGTCTTGTCACTTCTTCCTGTCCCTTGCAGAGTGGTGACAATGAAAACCCTAACTGTGTGGGGATAGAGGGAGTGTTGGAGGCGTACTTTCAGAGCCTCAGGACGGTCCAACTCTACGGACCCACCAACTTCTCTCCAGTCATCAACCAGGTGGCACGGTAAGGAGATTACACAGCACATTCATACATACTAGAGTAGAAACACGCACATCCCCTGGAGTTGCAAGGCTACACTATGTACTTGAAGCTGTTTTCTCTGCCAGACTCGTTCTCCCCTAGGCAACGATGCTCTCCCTCTCTGACTAGCAGACCGCTGTTCTCCCTGTCTGATGCACTCCCTCTCTGATGAGCAGACTGCCGCTCTCCCTCTCGGACTAGCAGACTGCCGCTCTCCCTCTCTGACTAGCAGACTGCCGCTCTCCCTCTCTGACTAGCAGACTGCCGCTCTCCCTCTCTGACTAGCAGACTGCCGCTCTCCCTCTCTGACTAGCAGACTGCCGCTCTCCCTCTCCGACTAGCAGACTGCCGCTCTCCCTCTCTGACTAGCAGACTGCCGCTCTCCCTCTCTGACTAGCAGACTGCCGCTCTCCCTCTCTGACTAGCAGACTGCCGCTCTCCCTCTCTGACTAGCAGACTGCCGCTCTCCCTCTCTGACTAGCAGACTGCCTCTCTCCCTCTCTGACTAGCAGACTGCCGCTCTCCCTCTCTGACTAAAAGACTGCTGCTCTCCCTGTCGCTCTTATTATTCATTCAAAGTATTCCCTAGTATTGTTTTCCATTGGAGTCATTTAGCAGAAGCTCTTATCCAGAGTGACTTACAGGAGCAGTTAGGGTTAAATGTCTTGCTCAGGGGCACATCGACCAATCTTTCACCTCGTCGGGACTCGAACCAGCGACCTTGTGGTTACTGGCCCAATGCTCTCAACCAGTAGGCTACCTGCCGCCCTGCTGCCTGTAATGGCTCCATACTGTACAATATGGCACAATGAGAAGCTGTAAAGGCAGACTCCATACTGTACATAGAGCAGACACTCCTGTTGCATAGTTACTGTGCTTGGCTACTACATTATATTGGACCATAGTGTCTGGAGGAGGGTTTATACAGTCTATGGGGTGTTAATGTGCTTGGAGCACCTGCAGCACAATATGGAGAAGTGTCTGGAGAAATGTGTCTTTCAGACAGCTGATGTTCTTCTTTAGCTTCTGCTCAGAGTAGTCTTCATGTGTGCGGAGAGCATTTGATTCCTCAAGTGTCATTTAAGAAGTTTCTGGTGCTTCTGAAACAGGGAGGCAGGGAGTAATTTCATGGGATCATTTTTGGAGAACAAACCAAAAAATTGTTTTTAGAAGTTTTTGGTGCTTCTCAAGTCATGGAAGCAGTCATTTCAGGAGAGCTCTGGCTAAGATTTTTTTTTTTTAATGCATTGCGTTCAGGTTACTGACCATGTGATGGGAAATTGAAGAGGACATGGCATTGCAAGGCCATTCTAGCAGCTGTGTAAAGTTACCAGAATAATTACATTTAACATTTTAGTCATTTGGAAGAGTTATCCAGAGTGACTTACAGTTAGTGCATTCATCTTAAAGGGGCAATCAGCAGTTGCTAAATCCATTTTTGGATTTATAAATTAAAGGTCCTGAACAGTCATTCTCTCATGGCTATCTACCAGGTAATTTAAAAAGACAGGCTGAAAGGGTGGGGAGCTTACATTCATGAGCACGCCTTGACTGACAGCTCTTTGAAACGCCTATGTGAAGCAACTTGGATGCAGTGAGCAATGTTGCAGTAAAATCATCTCAATCAAATTTGGTGATACACAAAGCAACTCAAACAACATTGAAATTGCGTCAGTGATATCATTTTAAAAAAATACAAGGCGATACTTTTAAATTAGGTAAGAGAATATCATGTTACCGTTGGTGTATTAGCATGAGAGGTAAAGGGATATCACCTTGTCCCCTTAATAATGAATCCAAGTGTTTGACATGCGGGAGGGGACCAGTAACTTTATGATCAAACTTTATCAATGTAGAAGCAACAGTCATTTTTCATACTTTGGTCATCATACTTTGATCTGGTTTCCTTCAAATATCAACCAATTTCATAAAAAACATGATTTTGATTGTTCATGACCTTCAATTATATGTACCCATTGATTCTTGAAGATTATAATTTATAAATGCCTCATGAGCTTAGTTCAACTGTCGTACCCCATCAGAACCCAAACTATAGGCTTGTTTTACTCCAATGTTTGTAAACAAAGTAAATGTAAACAAACACTATATACCCTCAAAACATGGTTAGATCTAACTTTTGATACTGTATCCATAGCTCTGTCTGTGAATTTGAGAGAGGTTACATTTCTCCAGGCCCATCCCTCAGCTTTTTCCCGAAACAGGGGTGGGGAAAACGCTATGTTATTGTTTCAGCTGCTGATTGCCGCTTTAAGGTAAGGCTTGGGGAAAGGCATTAACATTAACATTGGGTTAACATACTGCTGTGCACCGCCATTCATTTTCTGCCGATTATATATACACTACCTTTTTGTTTTGGTCAGAGCCTGGTGTAGTGATATTGATGGTTTCTCACAACTAATGGCTTCTACGGTTGTGGCTAGATGGAGTATAGCTACAGACAAAAGTGACTTTACGTAGCAGGTTAGCAGAACTAACGCAACAGGTTAGGAGAATTAACATAGCCGGTTAGGATCATTAGGTTAAGGTTAGGAAAAAGTTTAGGGTTAGGTTTAGCTAAAATGCTACAGTTGTCCCTGACGCAACAACTGGAGCTGCAGCTATACTCCATCTAGCCCCAACCGTAGAAGCCATCAACTCAGAGAAACCATCAATATCAAACCGAAATTGGTATAGCCTACAACTGGCACTACCATAGGAAATTGTGAATGGCTTGGAACCAGCTTGGCACAGCATTTCAGCCAATCAGATAGCAGATTTCTCTGAAATGGTTTTGATCTTACCAGTTGTTTTCCTGAATTTATCAACCATTTTCCCTCCCTCAATAAAGCAGCTGTCAGCGAAGTCAAGACATTTTTACATTTAAGTCACGCTCTTATCCAGAGCGACTTACAGTAGTGAGTGCATACATTTTCATACTTTTTTTTTCCCATGATGGTCGCCCACAGGAATCGAACTCACAACCCTGGCATTGCAAGCACCATGCTCTACCAACTGAGCCACAGTTAGTATGGAAAGACAAGTGTGTGTAAGTGCAATAAAGGCACGTTATTTATTTTTCTGTGCGCTGTAATAACCAGCCATGTGTCATCCCACTACCTAGCTCACTGCTACCTGGTACACTACTGTTCAAAAGGTTGGGGTCACTTAGAAATGTCCTTGTTTTCCATGAAAACATACATGAAATGAGTTTGAATAGGACATATAGCAAAATGAATATGAAATGTAGTCATTGACGAGGTTAGAAATAATGATTTTTAATAGAAATAATAATTGTGTCCTTCAAACTTTGCTTTCGTCAAAGAATCCTCAGTTTGCAGCAATTACAGCCTTGCAGACCTTTGGCATTCTAGTTGTCAATTTGTTGAGGTAATCTGAAGAGATTTCACCCCATGCTTCCTGAAGCACCTCCCACAAGCTGGATTGGCTTGATGGGCACTTCTTACGTACCATACGTTCAAGCTGCTCCCACAACAGCTCAATAGGGTTGCGATCCGGTGACTGTGCTGGCCACTCCATTATAGACAGAATACCAGCTGACTGCTTCTTCCCTAAATAGTTATTGCATAGTTTGGAGCTGTGCTTTGGGTCATTGTCCTGTTGTAGGAGGAAATTGGCTCCAATCAAGCGCCATCCACAGGGTATGGCATAGCGTTGCAAAATGGAGTGATAGCCTTCCTTCTTCAAGATCCCTTTTACCCTGTACAAATCTCCCACTTTACCACCACCAAAGCACCCCCAGACCATCACATTGCCTCCACCATGCTTGACAGATGGCATCAAGGACTCCTCCAGCATCTTTTCATTTGGTCTGCGTCTCACAAATGTTGTTCTTTGTGATCCGAACACCTCAAACTTCGATTTGTCTGTCCATAACACTTTTTTCCAATCTTCCTCTGTCCAGTGTCTGTGTTCTTTTTCCCATCTTAATCTTTTTTTTTATTGGCCAGTCTGAGATATGGCTTTTTCTTTGCAACTCTGCCTAGAAGGTCAGCATCCCGGAGTCGCCTCTTCACTGTTGACGTTGAGACTGGTGGTTTGTGGGTCCTATTTAATGAAGCTGCAAGTTGTGGACCTGTGAAGCGTCTGTTTCTCAAACTATACACTCTAATGTATTTGTCCTCTTGCTCAGTTGTGCACCGGGGCCTCACACTCCTCTTTCTATTCTGGTTAGAGCCAGTTTGCACTGTTCTGTGAAGGGAGTAGTACACAGCGTTGTACGAGATCTTCCGTTTCTTGGCAATTTCTCGCATGGAATAGCCTTCCTTTCTCAGAACAAGAATAGACTGACGCGTTTCAGAAGAAAGTTATTTGTTTCTGGCCATTTTGAGCCTGTAATCGAACCCACAATTGCTAATGCTCCAGATACTCAACTGGTCTCAAGAAGGCCAGTTTTATTGCTTCTTTAATCAGCACAACAGTTTTCAGCTGTGCTAACATAATTGCAAAAGGGTTTTCTAATGATCAATTAGCCTTTTAAAATGATAAACTTGGATTAGCAAACACAACGTGCCATTGGAACACAGGACTGATGGTTGCTGATATCGGGCCTCTGTACGCCTATGTAGATATTCCATTAAATATCAGTCGTTTCCAGCTACAATAGCCATTTACAACATTAACAATGTCTATGCTGTATGTTATTTTAATGGACAGAAAAATTGCTTTTCTTTTCGAAAACAAGGACATTTCTAAGTGACCCCAAACTTTTGAACGGTAGTGTATGACAGAGCACAGTAAATCCCTCATTCGACCCAGGTCTCAGACAAGGATCCATGCTACACTCAGCCAAGTGGAACACCTTAATGACCTTTTACAGTTTTTGCCCATTGCTTACACACTAAAACCGAATGCTTAGACCAAAGCCTCAATACCTAAACTTCTTGTAGCATACCTTAAACACAGTGTAACCATAGCTTAAACACAATGTCAACTTTGCACTTTGTTTGCAATTCTGTAACACACTTATTGTGAAACACTACACACGTTTTCTTACATTAGAAACTTTGTTCAAAAACGAAATCACCTGTTATCATTGGGAAAACACTCTGTTCAAAATGCAAAACTCATCTGGCAATTGTATGCACTTACATACACACCTGAAAACACTTGCACAGAAAACAGAACACCAATCAGTCTGAGCCTTAGCACTACAAATAGGCCTCAGGTAAGCCATTTTTAGAACTTTGCAAGCATGGAGGCAATGAGAGTCAGAGTAAGAGGAGGACAAAGAGAGAGAGGAGTCGGATGTGGAAGAGGACGTGGAAGAGGACGAGGACCAGTGCGGAGACGTATATCAGATGACATCAGGGCTACTCTGGTGGACCATGTGATAAATCATGGCCTGTCCATGAGGGAGGCTGGGCAAAGAGTCCACCCTAACCTCAGTCGCTACACAGTAGCATCGATAATAAGGACATTCCGACTGGAGAACAGGTAGATCTTCAAGTTTCTACTCCAGACTGTACCTACTGTATGTGTCACATGATTCTGTATCATATTACAGTATTACTGTACTAACTATACAAAAATGGGTAGTGCTGTGAAGTACTGTATATGTAAAGGAATACCATTGTGATGTTGCAGTACTGTGTACAGTTTGAAAGTACAGTATGTGAAAAATAACCTAACCAATGACATCTTGTGGTGGCATTTTCTACAGAATGGTTGGACGACCTCCTCAAGGTGGAAGGGAATGGCTCTTCACTCAACATAAAGAGCTTGCCATCATTGAAATGGTGCGAGAAAATAATGCAATCCGACTTCGTGAGTTGCAACAACGCATAATTGCAAATGGAAATGAATTCAACAATATCAACAGGGTCAGCATTTCTACACTAAGTCGCATCCTACAGAAACATAACTTCAGAATGAAGCAGCTGTACAGGGTGCCATTTGAGAGGAACAGTGTCAGGGTCAAGGATCTGCGCCATGATTATGTGCAGGTATGTGTCACTTTACTTTATATACTATATATTGTGATGTGGGAATGAGGGTTTATGCTGCCACCTGCCCTGCCTGTAGCTTGTAGTTTTTGTCTATACTCACCCAACCCAGCCCCTACTTGTGTGAAAATATAGACATTGTAGTTACTGTATGTGTTTTCAGTAACACTATTCAATATTTTCTGTTACAGACAGTTCTGGAGTTTGATGCCGCCGAACTGCCGCATGAGTTCATCTACGTGGATGAGGCAGGCTTCAATCTGGCCAAAACCAGGCGTCGGGGCCGTAACGTAGTTGGACAAAGGGCTGTTGTAAATGTCCCTGGGCAGCGGGGGGGAAATATCACCTTGTGTGCTGCAATTAGTTTCCAAGGAGTCCTACATCATCATGCCACTCTAGGTCCCTACAATACAGGACAGATCATTGCATTTCTAGATGCACTACATGCAGTTGTGCAGGACAGACCATAGCAGCCCAGGTTTGTTGTCATCTGGGATAATGTTAGTTTCCACCGGGCTGCTCTGGTCTGAGATTGGTTCAACAACCATAATCATTTCACAGTTTTATACCTGCCCCCTTACAGCCCCTTTCTAAATGCAATTGAGGAATTATTTTCAGCGTGGCGGTGGAAAGTATATGATCGGCAACCACATGCCCGCATGACTCTTCTGCAAGCAATGGAAGAGGCATGTGGAGACATTGAGGTGGGAATCAATCCAAGGGTGGATTCGGCACACAAGGCGAAATTTTTCCCCGATGCCTAGCCCACAAGGACATCGCCTGTGATGTTGATGAGGTCTTGTGGCCAGATCCGAACAGAAGGCGTGATCCATAAGCCCCCCGGCCCCCCACCACACACACATTTTACATTTACATTTTAGTCATTTAGCAGACGCTCTTATCCAGAGCGACTTACAGTTAGTGAATACATTTTTTTTTTTATACTGGCCCCCCGTGGGAAACGAACCCACAACCCTGGCGTTGCAAACGCCATGCTCTATCAACTGAGCTATATCCCTGCCGGCCATTCCCTCCCGTACCCTGGACAACGCTGGGCCAATTGTGCGCCATCCATGGGTCTCCCGGTCCCGGCCGGCTGAGACAGAGCCTGGATTCGAACCAGGATCTCTAGTGGCACAGTTAGCACTGCGATGCAGTGCCTTAGACCACTGCACCACTCAGGAGACATACACACACACACACGCACACACACACACAAAACAAGTATATGTTTTTTCCCCCAATAGCAATTTATCCAGTAATTGTTTTGTTTTCTTACTTTTGTTTTGTTGCTAAATTTGATGTTAAGAATTTCTGTAAGAATGTTTTTTTTTTTGTAAAAACTTTTTTGTAAATACTGTTTGATTACTGCAGAAATTCTACTTTTGAGTTTTACAGAAGACAATGACAATAAAATGACAATAAAAATAGAAACACAAAGACTGCAGTGTTTTATATAAAGACCATCAGTGTGTTGCTGGTGATATGAAAGAGTAATTCAAATGTTGCTTGTGTGTATGGTTTTGTTGCAAGAATTTCATTTTTAGAAAGGAGTGTTAAGTTTTGATTGCAGTGTTTCATTTTGGCATATATGTGAGTTGTTAATCTCCAAGTGCTATGTCTGATTGGCTTGTGTGTTGAGTTTTGACATAATGAGTCAAATTCTGCAAAAAGTGTGTAAGCAATAGGCAAAAACTGTATTAGGGATGTATTTTTAGAGCCAGTCCAGAGAGGACATTGTCGATAACCTACAGACAAACAACTGTAACACACGTCTTGGAGCTTCTCTAACATAAAAACAGATTGGATGTGAAATGTATTTTGTATTTTATTTTGTATTAATTTTTGGGGGGTCGATCCTCTCGTTCTGAGATGAGAGGTGGCTGCTGGGTAATGCCAGAGGTCAAAGTGTCAAGGCTCACTGGATAATGGTCCTTCATTTTGTCTCTAGTGAGAGGCTGTAAACATTTGCGGCAGGTAGCTTAGTGGTTAAGAGCGTTGTGCCAGTAACCGAAAGGTTGCTGGTTCTAATCCCCGAGCCAGCTAGGTGAAAAATCTGTCGATGTGCCCTTGAGCAAGGCACTTAACCCTAATTGCTCCTGCAAGTCACTCTGGATAAGAGCGTCTGCTAAATGACTAAAATGTAAATGATATAAATTCACACTCAATCCCACTCAGGCACACAGTCCTCCCTGAGTGTTAACTCGCCAGTGTGTGCGTGTGCCACCTCAGGTCTGCGCAGGATGTGACGGATGGCTCTCAGTACTTTGTGTTGTTGATGATCACAGATGGAGTTATCTCTGACATGGTGCAGACAAAGGAGGCTGTGGTCAATGTGAGTACAGGACTTTTCCTCTTTCAGCTGGGCCATCTTATCTGCAGACATTGTTCTGAGTTGAGGCAGTCTGCAAACCAAGCATATCCTACTACTGTCTGTCTGTCTGTCACTCCTGTTTTTTTCTCTCCCTACAGGCAGCTGCTCTCCCCATGTCCATCATCATCATCGGGGTCGGACCTGCAGAGTTTGACGGTGAGCATAGCGCCCCTAGATATAGAACAGAGGACCAAACTCTCCTGCTCAGCTGTTATTGGAGGACTTATAAGGAGCTTTTCTCCTTTGAGGGTTCCTTTAGAAAATCAGTGCTGTACAGAGTCAAGTATCCTGGCCCTCTTCAGATCAATGACTCCTTAACGGCGGGAGGGAGGGAGGGAGGGAGGGAGGGAGGGGAGTCTCTGTTCCTGCCCAGTGAGGCATAACCCTTGGCATCATCTGCGCTCGATTCGGCTAAATTTTTCCCTTGGTTAGGCAATCGAACGCATTGAAGTCAGCCAGGCATTGCTCAGGTCACAGGGTCAGACTGCCTGTTAGCAGCTCAGGCGAGCAACTCTTCAGCTGTAGCTTTGTGGGAAAATGTGTGTCTATCAGTGGAGGACGGCTCATAATAATGGCTGGAATGGAGTCAATGGAATGGCATCAAACACACATGTGGTTAATACCACTCCATTGACTCCGTTCCAGCCATTATTATGAGCCGTCCTCCCCTCAGCAGCCTCCACTGGTGTCTTGTGTTTCAAGACTTATCTGGTTTATTTGTCCGATCCTGTGTGGGTCTGTGCATTTGTGTGGATGCGTCTGTCTGGGAGTTCTGTGTGCAGTATTCTGTGTGGTTATGAATACTTCTTTTTGTCAGGGTTGATCTGTCTCGGTATCAGACTAAATTAGATGTTCTGTAAGCCTTTTAGAATGACCTTTCTATTCATTTTACATTTTAGTCATTATGCAGATGATTTTATCCAGAACAACTTACAGTAGTGAGTACATACATTTTCATATTTGTTCATACTGGTCCCCCATGGTTATCAAACCCACAACCCTGGTGTTGTAAGTGCCATGCTCTACCAACTGAGTCACACGGTATCAATGAGTCCACAGTCCTTTAACAGCGCTTAGTCTGATTTTAAATAACTGCTAGCAGCACTTAACATTTCCCTTCTGGTATCTGCTGAAGTTTTGACTTGAAGTGTTCCCGGGTCTGAAAGCTTCTTCGTGTCAAACTGACTGTTGTACCTTTTCATTGTTTTTCATTGTCTAGCCATGGAGGAGCTAGATGGTGACGAGGTCAGGGTGTCCTTCAGGGGGCACTTTGCTGAAAGAGACATTGTGCAGGTAGGTTGTGGCCAGACACCCGAGAAATTTTAATGATTTAGTCTATGTGCACTAACGTTATATTTGATGAAAGGGAAACCACACGCTCTCGTAGTTCTGATACAGTCATGTATTTATTCCCAAGAACCAACCAGTTTATTCTCCCAGATATTAGGGAAGACTTCCAGTACCCTACTGCAGTGTGTCCCTGTCATCGTCCACCCCCCCTTACCCCCCCCCCCCCCCCCCCAACCCCCCTACAGTTCGTTCCTTTCCGGGACTACATGGACCGGTCGGGGAACCAGGTCCTGAGCATGGCCCGGCTGGCCAAGGACGTGCTGGCTGAGATCCCTGAGCAGCTGCTGGGGTTCATGAAGACCAGAGGTATCGAGCCACGGCCCACCCTCTCCTCCTCAGACCTGCCTGACCTCCACAGGCACATCTGACACCCCCACTGTAGTGGGACAGCACCTCTCAACACCCCACCTAGGTCTACACACACACACACACACACACACACACACACACACAACTCTCTCATCTCTTTAAACCCTATGCCATTGCCATCTCATTGCAAGCCGATGGCCCCTCTCCCTACAACTGTAGCATGCCGTACCTTAACACAGCATACATCTACACATAGAATGAGTATATTCATACATTGTGTCATTGAACACGTAGGGGTGGGTAGATTGAGCACCCAATGCAATACCCACAAGCACCGTCACATCTGAACAGAAGGGAGAAATATAACTGACTATGCCATGATGTATCAACACATGCTGTACACTGACAACGTTCACATGCATATGCAGAGGGGGGAGTTAGTCTGTGAAAGTTATTGATGTAGAAAATATACTGAACAAAATATAAACGCAACATGCAACAATTTCAAAGATTTTACTGAGTTACAGTTCGTATGAAGAAATCAGTCAATTGAAATAAATTAATTAGGCCCTAATCTATGGATTTCACATGACTGGGAACACAGAATTCAGTTGGTCACAGATACCTTTAAAAAAATGGGCCTCACAATGGGCCTCAGGATCTCGTCACGGTATTTCTGTGCATTCAAATTGCCATTGTTAAAATGTAATTGTGTTCATTGTTTGTAGCTTATGCCTGCCCATACCATAACCCCACCGCAGTCAGAATGCCAATTGCACGCTCCCTCAAAACTTGAGACATCTGTGGCATTGTGTTGTGTGACAAAACTGCACATTTTAGAGTGGCCTTTTATTGTCCTCAGCACAAGTTGCACCTGTGTAATGATCATGCTGTTTAATCAGCTTCTTGATATGCCACATCAGTCAGGTGGATGGATTATTTTGGCAAAGGTGAAACGCTCACTAACAGGGATGTAAACAAATTTGTGCTAAACATTTGAGAGAAATAAGATGTTTGTGCATATGGAAAATTTCTGGGATCTTTTATTTCAGCTCATGACACATGGGACCAGCACTTTACATGTTGCGTTTATATTTTTGTTCAGTATATATACAGGACCAGTCAAAAGTTTGGACACACCTACTCATTCAAGGGTTTTTCTTTATTTTTACTATTTTCTACATTGTAGAATAATAGTGAAGACATCAAAACTATGAAATAACACATATGGAATCTTGTAGTAACCAAAAAATATATTAGATTCTTCGAAGTAGCCACCCTTTGCCTTGATGACAGCTTTGCACACGCTTGCCATTCTCTCAACCAGCTTCACCTGGAATGCTTTTCCAACAGTCTTGAAGGAGTTCCCACATTTGCTGAGCACTTGTTGGCTGCTTTTCCTTCACTCTGCGGTCCAACTCATCCCAAACCATCAGCACTCCGTCATTCTCCTTCTTGGTCAAATAGCCCTTACACAGCCTGGAGGTGTGTTGGGTCATTGTCCTGTTGAAAAACAAATGATAGTCCCACTAAGCCCAAAGCAGATGGGATGGCGTATCACTGCAGAATGCTGTGGTAGCCATGCTGGTTAAGTGTGCCTTGAATTCTAAATAAATCAGACAGTGTCACCAGCAAAGCAACCCCACACCATCATACGTCCTCCTCCATGCTTCACTGTGGGAACCACACATGCGGAGATCATCCGTTCACCTACTCTGCGTCTCACAAAGACACGGCGGTTGGAAACCAAAAATCTCAAATTTGGACTCATCAGACCAAAGGACAGATTTCCACCGGTCTAATGTTCATTGCTCATGTTTCTTGGCCCAAGCAAGTGTCTTCTTATTATTGGTGTCCTTTAGTAGTGGTTTCTTTTCAGCAATTCAACCATGAAGGCCTGATTCACACAGTCTCCTCTGAACAGTTGATGTTGAGATGTCTGTTACTTGAACTCTGTGAAGCATTTATTTTGGTGCAGTTAACTCTAATGAACTTATCCTCTGCAGCAGAGGTAACTCTGGGTCTTCCTTTCCTGTGGCGGTCCTCATGAGAGCCAGTTTCATCATATTGCTTGATGGTTTTTGCGACTGCACTTGAAACTTTCAAAGTTCTTGAAATCTTCCGGATTGACTGACCTTCATGTATTAAAGTAATGATGGACTGTCGTTTCTCTTTGCTTATTTGAGCTGTTCTTGCCATAATATGGACATTAACTTTTAAGAAGGCACACCTGTTAATTGAAATGCATTCCAGGTAACTACCTCATGAAGCTGGTTGAGAGAATGCCAAGAGTATGCAAAGCTGTCATCAAGGCAAATGGTGGCGACATTGAAGAATCTCAAATATAAAATATGTTTTGATTTGTTTAACACTTTTTTGGTTACTACATGATTCCATATGTGTTATTTCATAGTTTTGATGTCTTCACTATTATTCTACAATGTAGAAAATAGTAAAAATAAAGAAAAACCCTTGAATGAGTAGGTGTGTCCAAACTTTTTACTGGTACTGTATATCTATATTTCTGTCTGTAATAAAGCCCTTTTGTGGGGAAAAACTCATTATTATTGGCTGGTCCTGGCTCCCCAGTGGGTCGGCCTGGCTCCCAAGTGGGTGGGCCTATGCCCTCCCAGACCCACCCATGGCTGTGCCCCTGCCCAGTCATGTGAAATCCATAGATTAGGGCCTAATTAATTAATTTATTTTCTTATATGAACTGTAACTCAGCAAAATCTTTGAAATTGTTGCATGTTGTGTTTATATTTTTGTTCAGTGTGTGTGTGTGTGTGTGTGTGTGTGTGTATATATATATATATATACAGTTGAAGTCGGAAGTTTACATACACTTAGGTTGGAGTCATTAAAACTCGGTTTTCAACCACTTAACACATTTCTTGTTATCAAACTATAGTTTTGGCAAGTCGGTTAGGACATCTACTTTGTGCATGACACAAGTAATTTTTCCAACAATTGTTTACAGACAGATTATTTCACTTATAATTCACTGTATCACAATTCCAGTGGGTCAGAAGTTTACATACACTAAGTTGACTGTGCCTTTAAACAGCTTGGAAAATTCCAGAAAATGATGTCATGGCTTTAAAAGCTTCTGATTGGCTAATTGACATCATTTGAGTCAATTGGAGGTGTACCTGTGGATGTATTTCAAGGCCTACCTTCAAACTCAGTGCCTCTTTTCTTGACATCATGGGAAAATCAAAAGAAATCAGCCAAAAAATTGTAGACCTCCACAAGTCTGGTTCATCCTTGGGAGCAATTTCCAAACGCCTGAAGGTACCACGTTCATCTAAACAAACAATAGTACGCAAGTATAAACACCATGGGACCACGCAGCCGTCATACCGCTCAGGAAGGAGACGCGTTCTGTCTCCTAGAGATGAATGTACTTTGGTGCGAAAAGTGCAAATAAATTCCAGAACAACAGCAAAGGACCTTGTAAAGATGCTGGGGGAAACAGGTACAAAAGTATCTATATCCACAGTAAAACGAGTCCTATATCAACATAACCTGAAAGGCCGCTTAGCAAGGAAGAAGCCACTGCTCCAGAACCGCCATAAAAAAGCCAGACTACGGTTTGCAACTGCACATGGGGACAAAGATCGTACTTTTTGGAGAAATGTCCTCTGGTCTGATGAAACAAAAATAGAACTGTTTGGCCATAATGACCATCGTTATGTTTGTAGGAAAAAGGGGGTGGCTTGCAAGCCGAAGAACACCATCCCAACCGTGAAGCACAGGGGTGGCAGCATCATGCTGTGGGGGTGCTTTGCTGCAGGAGGGACTGGTGCAATTCACAAAATAGATGGCATCATGAGGAAGGAAAATTATGTGGATATATTGAAGCAACATCTCAAGACATCAGTCAGGAAGTTAAAGCTTGGTCGCAAATGGGTCTTCCAAATGGACAATGACCCCAAGCATTCTTCCAAAGTTGTGGCAAAATGGCTTAAGGACAACAAAGTCAAGGTATTGGAGTGGCCATCACAAAGCCCTGACCTCAATCCTATAGAAAATTTGTGGGCAGAACTGAAAAAGAGTGTGCGAGCAAGGAGGCCTACAAACCTGTTACACCAGCTCTGTCAGGAGGAATGGGCCAAATTCACACAACTTATTGTGGGAAGCTTGTGGAAGGCTACCCGAAACGTTTGACCCAAGTTAAACTATTTAAAGGCAATGCTACCAAATACTAATTAAACTTCTGACCCACTGGGAATGTGATGAAAGAAATAAAAGCTGAAATAAATAATTCTCTACTATTATTCTGACATTTCACATTCTTAAAAAAAGTGGTGATCCTAACTGACCTAAGACAAGGAATTTGTACTAGGATGAAATGTCAAGACTTTGAAAAACTGAGTTTAAATGTATTTGGCTAAGGTGTATGTAAACTTCCGACTTCAACTATATATATATATATATATATATACGGAACAAAAAATTTAAACACAACATATATATATATACACTGCTCAAAAAAATAAAGGGAACACTTAAACAACACAATGTAACTCCAAGTCAATTACACTTCTGTGAAATCAAACTGTCCACTTAGGAAGCAACACTGATTGACAATACATTTCACATGCTGTTGTGCAAATGGAATAGACAACAGGTGGAAATTATAGGCAATTAGCAAGACACCCCCAATAAAGGAGTGGTTCTGCAGGTGGTGACCACAGACCACTTCTCAGTTCCTATGCTTCCTGGCTGATGTTTTGGTCACTTTTGAATGCTGGCGGTGCTTTCACTCTAGTGGTAGCATGAGACGGAGTCTACAACCCACACATGTGGCTCAGGTAGTGCAGCTCATCCAGAATGGCACATCAATGCGAGCTGTGGCAAGAAGGTTTGCTGTGTCTGTCAGCGTAGTGTCCAGAGCATGGAGGCGCCACCAGGAGACAGGCCAGTACATCAGGAGATGTGGAGGAGGCCGTAGGAGGGCAACAACCCAGCAGCAGGACCGCTACCTCCGCCTTTGTGCAAGGAGGAGCAGGAGGAGCACTGCCAGAGCCCTGCAAAATGACCTCCAGCAGGCCAC